TAGTATATGTATATAAATATAGTAATTCCATTTTTATACGAAAAAGAACGATAGAAATAAACAATCTTTTTAATCATACATACTGTATATACACACCTTACTAAGTCTACCCAACAGTTTTATTTAATAATATATTCAAATTTCGATATCAAAAGTAATGAAATTAATTGAATTTTTAAAGATCAAAAAAGTTTTTAAAAACAAGTACTTTTTAAGTAAATTTAATAGGTTCAATCACTTTTATTTCAATCATTTTAATTTTAACTTTTTAGAAACTTTTATATATTATATATATCAATTATAGCATATTTTATTTAAAAACATTAAAGTTATAAATGTTTTTAGTTTATATTATATATCTTTAATTATTTAGTTGAGTATTATATATTATATATGATATAATATTACTAATAAAAGAATAATAATCTATAGTCTATATATAATACGCGTGGGATAATATATATAATATTCTTTATCATATTATAGTATTTGAAAGTTTGAAATACTAAAGTAGATGAATGAATGAATACTTGATTGATTGATGAGATTAGCTGAAAATGAGGAGATGAGTTGTAGTTGATTAAGTAGTAGTTAATTAATTAATGAGAAGGTGAATAGTTGAGGATATAAATAGTTGGGGAGGTAGATATAGTAGGGAGGGTTGTATCGCGAGTAGTAGTTGATGAGATGAGTAATAATTGATAATATAGTAAGGAATAAGATAGGTGAGGTAAGGAAATTAAAGAAAAGAATTATAGATAAATAGGTATAGATATAGGTATGAATAGATATAGTCACCGAGTACTACTACTAGTTACTTATTAAAATCATACTAAAATTCATTAAAACTTATAGAATATATTTCTAATTTTTAAATTATAAGATTATTAGTTATATAAATGATTATATAATTAGATTAAAAATCAAATGAAATTTGTTAAAACTTTTATGATTTATTTTTAATGATTTTTTATATTAAAGAATTATAAATTGAAATCAAAAGAAATTTTTCAAAATATTGAAATTTGTTAATAAAATGAGCGAAAATCATAAATCTTTATAAATATGTTTTTAAATAATATAATTAATGATTTAAAAACTTTAAAGAGTATTAAAAATATAAATTTATTAAATATTAATATCGAAATAATGTATGTATTAAAATTGAAATTAAAATATTTAGTTAAAGTGATTGATTTTATATATAATAAAAGTAGTAAAATGGCTTTTTCAAGTGTGATTTTGATAAGTGACAAGTAGTAGTGCGCTAGTACTATAGATGCTTATTGATGGGTGGGTAGGTACTGAGATTGTGGGTTGGGGAGATGGGTGAAGGATTATTGAAGTGGTGAAGGATTGACATGGTAGATATATAGTATGGAAGGGGAATTTAGAGAGTTGGGGAGTTGGAATTGAAGAGTTGGAATTGGAGAGTTGGAGAGCTAGAGACATGTGGATGTGGGTGAGTAATGAGTGGTGGGTGGTGATTTGGGGAGATGAGGATGAGGATGTGGATGTGGGTGAATGTGAATGTGAATTAGGAAGATTGTTAGGGTAGTCATGTTGTGCAAATGGTTATTATAGATAGTAGATAGTATAGAATAGGGGTGGTGAGTAATAAGGTGAGTGATTTGATTAAGGAGATAAGTGGTAAATGATGGGTGGGTGAGAAGGTGAGTGGTTGAGGAAATGAGTTATTTGGGAGATTGATTGTAGTTGATGTAAATGAGTGAGGTGAGTGAGATGGTGAGTAATGATAGGGTGGTTGATGAGTGGGGAGTAGTGAGTGACTGATATGTTGGAAGGTGGACAGGTGGTGAATGGTAAGTGGAAGTGGATATTGCTGGTGTGTTACTTTTTGATGGACATTTAGTTTGTTTGTTGATATGATATGATATGATGGATGGGTTGGACTTGAGGATATAAGATGAGTAGTGCTACTGGTGATGAATGATAAGCGATATGTTGTTGATCAGGTGTGTATAGATTGTAGAGAGAGTTGGGTGGTGGATGGTTTTTATGGGATGGTTCAAGTGGTTTGATGATGAGGCGGTGGTTGATGAGGTGGTGGTTGATGAGGAGGTAGTTGGTGAGGCGGTGGTTGATGAGGAGGTGGTTAATGAGGAAGTAGGTGAGTTAAGTGGTGAGTGATAAGGAGGTAGCTAAGGAGGAGAAGATTTAAGATACCTAGCTAAATAGAAGTAATAGAGAGTGAGTATATAGGTTAGTGAATGCTTGGTTGATAGTAGGTAGATATTATGCTGTTTATTTTGAAAGATTGTATATTTGAATGTTTGGAGAGGCATTGGAGAGAGGTTGGAGACTTGAAGTTTGAAGTTTGAGGAGATTAAAATGGAAAATAAAGGATGGAGAAGAAGAAAAGAGGAGAAGAGGAGAAGAGGAGAAGAGGAGAAGAGGAGAAGAGGAGAAGAGGAGAAGAGGAGAAGAGGAGAAGAGGAGAAGAGAGAAGTGAGTAAATGAAGAGGAAGTTTATATAGGTGGGTGAAGGTATTTATATAAGTAGTCTGTGGAATGAAGGGAAGGGGAGGGGGAAGGGGAAGGGGGTTGTATAAGAGATTTAAATATATGTAAATAGGGGAGAGTGGAAAGTTGTATGTGTGGGATGGAATGGGATAAGTGAAGGGGTAGAATGAGTGGAATCTAAAGTGAGTAGGAGGAGAGAGGAGAATAAACAAGTAGGTAGATAATATAATTCAAATTTCAATATATAGCTTTATTAAAAAGCAAGATTTATCAAATATGAAAAAGATCATTGAGGATATACCTTATTCTGATATTATTTACTTTCCCTTATATTTTGGTGATTCCTTGTTCTGTCGCCTTTTTCAAAATTTTATGCAATTGAATTTTTGATCTTGGTTTGGATTATATTGAAATGATGTTTTAGATTAATAATTATATTGAATTGATGGGGAGAATCATATTTTATGGAGTTTTTTTTCTTGAGTTTAGAAGTACTTAAGAGAGATGATTAATGATATTGAGACTTAGGACTTGAGATTTGAGATCTGATCTGAGACTTGTGGAAGAGGGGAATGGAAGGAGATAAAGACGATTCAGGGAAGTATGAAATGACTTTATTTAATTTGATCTGATACAACATCTATGGTTAGATACCTATGTGTATCATTTTATGATATCTCTTCTCAGATCAACAGCAGCCTGGTGTTTGGAGCTCAAGCTTATCGGAATGTGAATCTCCTTTTATTACAAGAAGATGTGTTACTTTGCTTGGATTTCGAATCTGTATTAAGGGAGGGAGGGGGTCTATATACTGGGATGTTAAGGATTCATTGGACCCTAGAAGTTAGAGTTTATTGGAGGTGTTCACTTCTTCCTTTCTTCCTCCTTTTTCATTTGCGGTATTTTGTTCGAGAGCTCAAGGACTTGTTAAGGTTAGGCATGAGACGAAAATATAAGGGGTCTTGTTTTGTAGGCAGAGATGGATTGGAGGAGTTGGAATTGTAGGTGATTATGTGGATTGCTGTGCTGTGCTGGGTGTGTCGAGTTACGGGAAGGGGAATTGAAAGTGCTTCGTGTATCGTAGGGCATGGGATGTTAATATGGTATAGAATGTGCTAGATGAGATGGGAATGTAGAGATAGAGTGGATTGGGATAGATGGATAGATGAAGTGAGAGTAGATTGGTAGTTTTCACTGTCAATTATATTCGTGATTATTAATGGGATGGGATGGGAGTTCTAGACTTAATGGTGCATTTCTCGGTGATTTTATACTGGCACGGGCGTGAAAGATATTGGTGACTCTTCAGCTAATCAATATGATTTTGATGTCAGTGCCTATTCTTGGGTTCTGTCGTTTATGGATTTCTCGGTTGTAGAGGTTTGTGGTTGGAAATGTAGGAAGGTGGGTGAGTTGGGTAGATACTAGGGAGACGGATGTTCTAGGGATGATGTTCATTATTATGATTTACTGTATAGGTAGTAATGGTATAGAGTTTGTTCTGATAATTTGATATGCCGAACGGTGAATATCTACAATTCATTGACCAAATTTCAGTGTGTACATAAGTCAATGCGGAACGGTTCCTGATGTAAAATAAAGTTCCTGAGAAGTATATTCTCGCTGTGGTTTAGGGAGGTAGAGATGGAATGGAAGACTGCACGTTTTCTGAGACATAGAGTTTGTTGCAGGATCTGGGTAGTGCTTGACTCAAATATGCGAAGATAGAATGGCCTGATATACATGAGGGTATATACCTCTTGCTATCAATATGGGGTATTCATCATTAGTATGAAGATTTCCGTTATTATTCTCACCGAGATTTTCGGCATCAAAATACAGTAATACATCAATTAAGCTTAACAATATAGTCGGACTCAACATTGGATCGAAACTGACAAGGAAAGGTCACTTTGCGAATCTAAGGTAGAAGAATAGCATATCTTCTCTTAAATCTAATCAAGTCACCCGAATACTCAGAGTCGTACTTTCTGTCGTTTGGATGACTGTATAAATACAAGATGATAGTGCATAAAGCTTATATGCTGTTCCATTATTGAATTGCCTGATTCCCAATGAATTTCTGACATTCTACCAAGATACTTGTGAAGTTAACAATCTGAACATCCAATTGAAGTACGTACAAATTAAACACCTCAATCCAGATGTACATCTCGCTCATTCTTTCATCTACTCATATCCCAATCTGGCGATATGGAATGGTAAGGATGGATAACGGGTGGGAGGAAGTGGAAATACATGAATAGTAGGAGTGAGTATGTATATTCCTGAGGTTATAAATAGTAGGTACTAGAGGTCCAAAGGGGAAAGTCTTCGGCTAATTTGCTGTGGCGAATGAGCTGTAATAGACGAATTGAAATAAGTTGAATTAATCTACAGGTTTGTATACAACTCAATACACCAAGGGACACAATGAGAGACTTTAAAGACCAGATAGTCCCATTGATCCTCACCATATCCACCTCAAAACATTCTTTTTCCTTCAATATACCACATTAACTCTCCCATTCCCCCTGCTTTCTCTGAAACTCACTCCAATCCTCTTCGTTTTCCCTGAAATCCAAATTCGGACCTTCGTGTTTCGGAATCTTCAGATTACACAATTGATACTCTTCTGCAATCCTCCACCTCATTGTTTTTCCACCACCTTCTTGCCCCAGTCTTTCCTGCTCTCCAGGAGCTAGTTCAGATCCAAAGTAAGAAAGCGCTGCAGCGGTAAGTGGACTCGCTGCCTGACACGTCTTGATTTCCAAGGCAGGCTGTTTCGTCCAAACAAAATAGTGTGAATGCCTCTATTATAGCCCCCATCTTACTTTCATCTTGGTCCTCGTCACCTGACCACCTCTCTTGTTCAGATGGGCTTAAGGAAGTGTTCCTCATCATGCATGAATGTGTAGGGATTGACACCTACTATTGTACCTCTTGAAATAAAATATCCACGCATTAAGAGTTTTTTACTGACTTATGTTTCATCCTCTCTTTCTCATTTTCCTTCCAAATAGTCGATCTCTCCAGGGACTCCCCGAATATGATCGCGCCATCCTTCATGTCTCATGAACAGCTACTTTCACGCGCCCACATCACTCTTATTTCGCTCCATTTATATCACCCGCGTAGTGTGAATCTTATGAGCAAGTAGCTTGTATCACGAAGGAGAAATACGAGGCGCTGAGGAGGGCCGAGAGGACCATCCCCCTAGAAGGAAGGGGGTTTCTGTTATACCAAAGAAATAGAAAAAACAAGCAAAAAGATAAAATCAACAAAAAGACATGTCTAAATCCAAGTCCAACCACAGAAACTGAACAGAAAGATAGAGTAAGAAATAAAAGAGATGTACGAGCAGGTATCAGAAACATAGTCCCAGCCCACAACTGAATATTTCCCATCTTTTACATACCCTCTTTGTCGAATCTGTCAGTATCAGAACCAGTTTCTTTCTCTCCTGCTAGAGAATGGAACACGTGCTTTAGATCTCGGGTAGCGTCATTAATTTGTTGATCGTATCTTAGATAGAAATTGAAATGCGATGCCAGTCGTTTGGCTGAGACGGCGGAAAGGGGTTGGGGAGGGAGTTCAGAGGTTAAAGACTAGAATGCTATGAGAGGGATGAATTAGCCAGCCAGAAGGAAAACTTGCATGAGGGAGTTTGGTGAGTATAGAGGGAATATAATGTCATGTAAAATTCTACTCAAGATCTTCACTACCCTCACTGTGGTCTTCAAATCGAAAATAAGAAAATACCCACCAGCGAAGTCATCTCATCCATCTCTTTTTGAATTATATATTTTCCCTTTCTAGCTAACATTCAGTACCCATCCGAAAAGCCACTCGTCCCGCTATATGTCTACCACTTACTCTATTTTCCTTTCCCCCTATTCGTTCGTCACACTTCTCCTTAATGGACCTGAAAACGACTTCAACCTCGTTCTTCAACATTAGCTGGAAATCTCTCAACGAATTATCTGAGAGTATAGAGCCCTAGATTCTACGAGTTTGTCGATGTAAAAGGCGGAATAAAGCATCGAAGGAGTTAGCTTAAGGGTTGAACAGAGTGTGCTTGTAGATGTGAGTCTTTCTCATGAAGGGTGCAGGCAGATTGCTTGGGGAAGAGTTAGCTGTCATATGCTAGATTTGCATTGGGAGGAGAGATAAAGAGGACTAGGTACCGTGAAGGGCACTGGAGATATGGAAACGTAGACGGTTAGTAGCTAGTCTGCATAAGGGACAAGAGTAGTAGTCTTAGGCGTATTTGACTGTCTTCGAAGTGCTTCCTTTTTGTATGAATGCATGGCAGAATGTACACACCATATTTCCATGATCAAAGTAGTACTGAGACGAAGGAATTTCCACACAGTAATAGTCAATCTATCCAAATGTGAACTTGGCGAAGAATGGACCTGGATAGATTCTCGGAGTACGAAGAAGAAGTCTGTAGGTCGTAGTAATGGTAAAGAGACACTGGTGAAGCAAAGCATGTCTCACTTATAAGTCAACTACCCCACTTTCCGACCACCCCCTCTTTTCGACCACCTCAAAAACCACACCGCTTTGAGTAATTATAAAATTTATACTTTGAATAACTCAACAACGCTTTAATCAATTGATTTGAAATTTTGATATTATTATAATTGTGATATGAAGAATAGATATACCGAAGAAGATATCGCAGAGGCTCTTAGAGCGATTACAAATGGAGCAAGCATACGAAGAGCTAGCTTGGATTATGGTGTTCCACGTACCACACTTCACGATCGAATATATGGTGGAGTTTCGCATCAAAAAGGCGCCCAAATACTTCAAAAGTTATCTCCAATTCAGGAGAATCGACTAGCAGAATGGATATTAGTACAGGAAGCTCTTGGTACTAGCCCTACACATCGTCAAATCAGAGAGATGGCAGAGCACCTCCTTATTGTACGAGGGGAGGATCCCTCACTTGGAAAGAAATGGATACATAGCTTTTTTCGAAGGCATCCTAATATTGGAACTAAGAAGCAACATCAAATCGATTCTGCACGAGTTTCAGGTGCTACATCTGATATTATTAAGAAGTGGTTCCGGAACCTCGCAATCCCTGAAATCAAGGCTATTAAGCCGGCCAACAGATGGAATATGGATGAAGCAGGTATAATGGAGGGTCAGGGTCTTAATGGACTAGTAGTAGGAAGCACTGATCGAAGATTTATTCAAAAAAAGCAACCTGGATCTCGAATTTGGACCTCTTTTATAGAATGCATTTCAGCCAATGGAAAAAGCATTACTCCCCTTGTAATATATAAGGGAAAATCAGTTCAACAACAATGGTTTCCAACAGATTTGACTCTATTCAAGGGTTGGAACTTTACCGCTACAGAAAATGGATGGACTACAGATGCTACAGCTTTAGAATGGCTGAAAAAGATCTATATCCCTCAAACTACCCCTATTCAGCCGGAAAATTCAAGACTCCTCATTTTGGACGGACACGGAAGCCATGAAACTACAGCATTTATGTTAGAATGCTTTAATAACAACATATATCTCTTATTTCTCCCACCACATACGTCACACGTACTACAACCACTCGATTTATCTGTGTTCTCACCCCTAAAAAGTGCATATCGAATCGAACTTAATAAATTAAGTCTATTATCCGATTCCTCACCAATTGGAAAGCGCAATTTCCTTTCTTGCTATCAGAAGGCTAGAATAGAAGGTTTAACTATTCAAAATATCAAGTCTGGGTGGCAAGCTAGTGGTCTTTGGCCCAAAAATATGGCTAAACCTCTTATGAGTCGACTTTTGCTTGAAAATAGCAATAGAGAGGTTTTATCACTTAATCCTGAATCTGATGATGATCCTATTCTTCAATGGAATATATATTCATCGTTTATTCAATGGAAAACCCCTCAAAAAGGAGCCGATATCAGAAAATATAGAGATATAATGATTCAAGAGAAGGAGATCGATTTGCCAACACGAAGATTACTATTTCGCAAGATTATAAAAGGATTCGATGCTAAGGATTATGAACTCTTAGAGGCAGAGAATAAGATTAGAAAGCTAGAATATCAATTAGATGAAGCATTACCTAGAAAAAGGCGAAAGGTTGTGGTATCTCCAAATTCGAAGTTCGCAGGGATTAGAGCTATAAGGCGTACACAAATTGAAGCTGGAGATCGTGAAGATGAGGTAGATGATAGCTCTAGTGCTATAGAAAGTGATTCTACAGGCGATTTCATTGAAGTTCAATAGTTATTGAGTTATTAAAGTTTTAAGTGTAGATAATATGAATTTTTTAGGTGGTCGGAAACAGGGGGTGGTCGGAAAGTGGGGTAGTTGACTTAGTCGTAGTACTTGCGATTTTTGATATGCCAATATCACGTACGAGCGATGTCATAAGGAAGAAGATATAGGCTTTCACTTCTAAAACATACCCTGAGGAGCTCACTATGTACAAAAGATCATACGTAAGAGGATCTGAATCTTCAGAATATATACATATCAAATTAGACCGCAGCTACTGCAGACGCAAGCCAGTAAATAGTCTATTTACACACAATTGACCTACAAGAAGAAATCCAGATCTATTCAGCCAAAATGAAACCGCGAATCAATGTCATGAAAGAGAGCAACATCTACTTATGACCGAAAAGATCAGACAAGAACCCTAGATATTTATCAATCTACATAATTCTAAACAAGGTGAAGAAGTCATTCATGGCTGCAGCTTTGAATGCGATTTAGGTCACGGGATACAAACTATCTGTGATAATGTTGCAGAATCTAGTGAACATGGTAGTAATATTTTCAAACTGGGATTAGATTATTTACTTCTAGTAAGCAACAAACACATGTCACGAAAAATGACTGTGAAGAGTGCATATCTAAATTGAATTCATTTGGAAATCAGTTAAAAGAGAAGGCAGCTAGCAGATGATTAGAGTAAAAATACATTTGAAGTGGCAGTTTGTCTTTGTTTACATTGCTACCGTCTTATTCGTTCTGTAAAATGCTGAAAAGCCATAACGAATTACAGACCTTGGATACCTATCATTAAAGAGTACCTCCATTTTGAAAAGAATGTTTTCAAATTGACTCCATAGTCAAATTGTAGTTCCAACCTCAGTGGCCTGTCGCTGGTTTGGAACTCGAAGGATAGACTTAACGAGGTGCTGGAGGCATGTTGTCAAATTTAAGTATGGTCTAATTGTAGATTCAACCTCTGTGAATGTGTATATTGTGAACTTGAATTTTTCCGCCAACAGAGAAAGAGAATAGGGTTCCCGAGGATGTCTTATTGTGAAAGTCGAAAAGAGATTTAATTTCAGATGATCATTGGCCCCCATTAATTTACTTCCAATCCTTGTTTTATATTATTCGAGTTTGCTGAACAGCGGAAAGATAAACAAAGCCTACTGTGGGTTGCAATAGATGTATTATATAGCTTCAGTTGTGAGGTAGATGGAGTGAAGAAATTGGGTGGGAGGTTGACGAAATTAGGAGGATATCTGTGCGTGGTGAGTTAGCAATTGTGTATGCGATGAGAAATAGTGGCGGATTGCAAAGAGGAAGTGGGAAGTGGGAGGGGAGCATGGATAGGAAGAGGATTGTGAACCGAGAGATAGAACTCATGATTGGAGATCGCAGAAACGCAATCAGAGGCCGCGAGAGATGTGGATATTTGCGAACCAAAAGCCGAGCATTGAATGCAAGACGGGCATCCATAGCGGGAAGGAAAGAAGAGAAGAGAAACTTGAAAACCCTCGAAGAAGCAGAGCTCATGTGTTGATGGAAGTGTAATTACCATTCGTCAAGTACTTGCAGCTCCGAGTATGCGACGAACGTATTCTAGTATCTGCTTTGAGGAGCTTTTAGCTGCAACTTCTGTCTAAGTACCCCTTCCCCCTCCAGATTATGCTATGCGAACAAGAATGAAATTTAAAGGGGCTGTAGACCATTTACCGTTGATCGCAGAGTCTCTTGTTGTATTCCAAGTTCAGGAATCGTAACGAGCGCGCGAATATCCGCTCTTGCAACTTTCGTTATATTTATCTGCAAGGAAATAGATGTGTCCAGCTCCTCCTCTGTAAATTTTATCTATGTACATTGTATTGAATTCTATCTTCTGGGTGCTATGACGGCGTTTAGCCATTCATTTTCGATGCTCGCATGGCCCATCCTCGGTGTCCTTCCCCCTTTATTTTAGCGATCGCTACTTGGAATTTCGGGTCGGCGATAATTTTAGAGATTCCGCAATGGATACTGGTCAGGGATGCGACTTTGTATGGAGGGTTGCTGCTCTTATGGAATTAGCATTCTGAATAGTAAATGAGAAAGGAATATTCGTCTGTGCAAATGCGCGGGGAGTATCTGAGGCCGCAGGAAAATGTTAGAATCAGATGAGCTCCAGTTCATCCGCGGATTGTACTTGAGAGATTCGTCTGGAAGGACGAAAGTCTGACTCTGGCATAGACCTTCGCTGCTGAGATGAGACGAAAGTTACTGATGTAAAGTTGTTGAGGATAGGCCGATTTTAGGATAGAGAGTGATGAATGCTGCCGAACGCTCGAGACGAAGACAAGCAGAGCATCTGATGTGCGCCGGGGCAATATGCGGATTGTACTGGATGTTTAGATTGGCGTAGGGAAGACATACCTACAGAATTAGACGGTTTCCAACTTTCAGGATGGGGACGAGTAATGCTGGTACTGTATCTATCGTTGTACGAACTCCTCACCATGAGGCTTTGATGCGATTGGTGTATTGATGATAAACATAAACTCTAGAAGTTTCCTCATCGTATTAGTATATTGTTGAAGTATTAAAAAGAGTTATGGTAATAGTTTTCGATTTCGAACGTGTGGTTCCAGAGTGCATAAAATATTTAGTAGGTATGGGTGGGAAGTGTCGAGGCTTGCTTTCAGGTAGGGAAGGAACTCATTCTCGTTAGAACCATCTTCGACAGATTATGCTTTTACTTTCCAAAACAGTCTAAAAGCCCAGCAGACCAATCTATATTTTGTGAAAGTAAACTTATGTATTCATAAATTAGCCACGCCATACTCCGTGTAACTTTAAAAATGTAAAAACATACCGTATATTTTTGATCATGTTGTAAAGTACGAGGTGCCATTCTCCCATGATTATTATGAGAGAACCATGGGGGCTGTATGAAAGTAGGGTCACATCATTAGTGGTCTCCCGTTAGTCAAAAATCTAGACTTATACCTAGCTATAGTGATCAAACTTAACTTACAGGCTTCTGCCATATTCTCAAATCTAGATGGCAGAAATCATCCCTTTTTGCCTTTGGATAATTTGCTTCTTTTAAACCCTCAAACTGCTTCCATTTCATTTTGCAGGTAAAATATCTTAAGAAGAAAAGACTACTTAGTACGAGATAGAATTAAATTGAGTAGATTATTTAGTACCGTTTTTTTATTTGCGGCATGTTCTTGTGAAAAATCCTTAGAATCATCACAACTTACCACAC